TTTTACAGGAAGACACAAAGATTGAATTCTGATATAAAACACAAAAAAATTAGTTTTTATAAAAAAGATTTATCATAAATTGTTAAATAGGGGAACAATATGTGATCCTAAAGGCTCAAAATTACATTTTTCCTTTAATCTACAATTTGAGAATCATTTTTGGGTTACAGCAATAACAAATGAAAACATTAATAAGCTTTATTTATTTCCATATAATGTTTTGTAGAAGCCGCTGAAAGTCTGTCGCTGCTCTAGAAGGATGTTTTCACACTTATCTGCTGAAAGAGGAAAGTTTCTCTGCGCTTTATTGAACATCAGATTTTAAGGGGCGGGGCCTATGAGCATGATTTGTGACATCACAAATAGTTCAGGAAGTAAATCCGGGTCCAGATCCAGCAGTGACACTGAGGTTGGAGGAGGAGACATTTTACTTATTGATAGATTCTGTAACTTTTAACGAGGCAGGAGGATTTAAGGATTCGGAGCGTTTACAGTCACTAGAAGCACATTCACTCTGCTTTTATAGAAATATCTGACGTAAAGTCCCAAACTGTCCACTGTTCCAGTTCTATAATTCAGTTTACAGCTCAAACATGTTAAAATGCCAAAGTGGGAATGCTGAAGTAATGGAGTACTTCACTGTTTTAGTTTCAGCACTAATATAGAATAAAGTGTGTTGTTGTTCCTCGTGCAGCGGCTTCATGCAGAGTGTGAGTCAGACGAAATGTTGAGTCTTTTATTCCTCAGTGATTCAGCCTCCAACACAAACAGCGTCCTGCATCCCGACCCTTCCTCCGTCCCGGCCAATTATTCCTGTTGTCATCCTCGTCTCAGACAACAGGTCCGTGTTTCAGTCGGAGCAGGTATCACTGCGCCGGGATCGCGTTACACAGCTGAGAGATTTATTGCTCGGCGAGGGAACGTGTCGTACCGCCATCTCTGTCGTCGTCTCCAGCTCTTTATTCTGGGTGAGAGGCAGAGAGATTGAGGGGAGGGAGGCAGCGTGGGTGAGGATGGGTGAGGAAGCTCCAGAAAGGAACAGGAGTTTGGTTGGAAATAAAATATCTGGTTAAATCTTTTAAAGGCCTCCACCACACAGATGAAGGATTTGGTTGCAGAGGTTTAATTAAAGATTATTACTCTTAAAGTGAAGTGACTCTTCAAACTCTGAATCAGCTGATCAACAAGAAAAAGAATTTCCCAAATAGATTTAAATAAAAAACTAATTTCTGATATTAAATTAAAGCTCATTTTACAGTGAGGACTCATCTGAAGTTGTTTGCTGATAGAAGAACGTACGGAGGCTAAAGAGAGCCAGCAGATTAAATGTTTGAATACAAAAACATATAAATTAGATAATTGATGCAGTTCGGAATAATACAGGAAGTTATGAAATTCAAATACTGTAAAAATGTTTTAAAAAGACCTTTAAAAGTTATGAATTAAATTCTTCTCCTTTAAATAACAATGATATTTGTTGTTGTTTACCCAAGTTGTTGTCATTGTTTGTGTTTTCATGTTTCATGTCTTCCTGTTAATATCTTTCACTAAAAAAAAAACTTTTATTAAAACTTAATAAATAGATAACAATAATCTAAAAGTCATCCATAAAACATTTTTATATGAATAATTTATAAAAACATTTATTGTCATTTATTTTATTATTTATATGTATTATTATATATTATTATTTATGTCTGATTTAAAGTAGGATTTTATTCTTACACTGTAAAAGTGAAAAACAGTAAAAGCCTGTAAATAGGTTTAAGTTTCTGTAACAGTAAAACTGATATCTGATGATGAAACCTTTTTTTATAAGACATTTTAAAGGAATTTATACAGATTTTTTTATATTACAGACTGTAAACTGCACAGTTACCGCATCATATGGTAAAACTGTTTCTGTTGTTTGTAAAAACTTATTTATACAGTAAAATATGGATTAAAACTCAACAGAACTAATATTTAACTGTAATAGTAGAAAAAGTTCTACTGTATTTATTACAGTAAAGTTCTGACAACAACAGCTGTTTTTGTATATATCGTTTACTACTATAGCCTGTACTTATTATGGAGTTGACAGATTTGTTTTGGTTTGGGGGCATTTTACATTTCATGTTTGCTCTTTTTTAAGGATATGAAAATGAATGAATGTTGTGTTTAACAAAAAAGATGTCATTCTCAAATAATCATTCTTAAAGATAAAGAATGAAAACTGTGGAAGCTACAGAGACTTAACATTTTACGCATACACATGAAACTGCACAATAGGAGAATAGTTTCTAGAAGTAGAAGAAGATATTCCATCTGTCACCATGACAAGTCTAACGGATTTTTTCCCCCTTTTGATTTGAAATCCTAACCCCAACCCGGCCTTTACATTTTTGTGCAATTTTCACAAAATAAATAAAAAGAAACTCTCTTATTATAAAATAACTCCTGGATGACGGTAAGAAGTGATTTTTCTACTACTGAGGTTTTGCTCAGCTCCTTAAATTTCAGTGGAAAAACAAAATGAAAACACAATAAGAAAGAAAATGAATGTCCACAGCCTGCAGGGTGAAATGGCTATTGAAGGATCTGTAGTGTGCGGACCAGCTCTCAAGGTCTGCTCGGAGCTCCGTCACTCATTCACTTAATGTCTCCATAATGATTTTTAACCGCTGTCACAATCAGCACAAAGCCAGAAGAAGAATCTGCTGTTTCGCATGAAGTGGATGTGGACAGTGGCGGGGGCGGCGGTGCGCTCCTGCGGACTCCTGTCACTGTTTGGTGTTGTGTTCAGCACCTGGTTGGTACCGGATCGTGCGTCATTGTGTGTCCCAGCTACAGCTCCATTATGCAGACAGCGACACAAGCCTCATTTATAACGCGACATGTTGCATTGAGTGACGGCGGGGACGCAAATGGCCTTCTTCCCACGGCCGCAGCCCATGTTGCAGCCTCTACCGCTTCATACACACGCAGTGCGCGCGCACCCTGTCCGCCCCTGCACAAGGTCCATTTTCACCGCAGAACAAAGTGAGCCCTGCCACTGAATGGGCTGAATAGATGTGTGCTTACAGACCCCAGGCCGGCGGGCAGTCTCTTTTCGGTATACCGGGGAGCGTTAATATGGCGCGTGAGGTGTCAGAGAGGCGCGCGCTCCGGGGCCCACCACTGTGCTTTTATTTGTCGACCAGCCTCCCAATAAAACCAGCTCTGGCTGGCACCAGTGGCGCATCGACCACTCTACTGGTGCACGTATTTACGGCAGCAGCAGCACTGCCCACTTACGGCTTAATAAATGAGCTGAGGGCTCTTCACAGAGCAGGGTGACCACATTCTGCTCCGCTCTGTGGGTTCATACTCAACCATACATCACCGGAAGATGAGAACAGCTACTGCGCCAGTACGGAGGCTGAAAATGTGCAACACTTCATTGAATATTCTTAATATTCTAGGATCTGTGTCCATAATGACCTTTATTTTGTTGTAATCTTGGTTTTTAACTCTATTGGCTGATGCTGTCACTGACATTAATACTACAACTCTATATTATAAATGAAGGATCCATTTTAATGTTGTTTTCTCCGTTAAATGTCATGTGTAATTGTGTATATGCTACTTTTTGTCATTGAGGACCCCCTTGAAAACAAGATGGTACATCTCAAGGGATTACATAAGATAATATTTTCCTTTATTGATCCTAATATACAGGGAACATAATATATATAGTGCAAAGAGTAAAGAGAAATAATAAAATAAAATGCAATATAAACTATAAACACTGTGTACAATAAAGTATGGTATGCTAAGCCTGTTTATATCTGTACATAATATTTCTTAAGTATTGTGCAAAAGAAGAGTTGTGCTCTTTCTGCACCGCCTCCTTTTGTTTGTTTTATTGCTCCCTGTATCTAATTACATTTGACCACAGAAAGAGATATAAAACATATACTGTACATGCAACACATGTTAAATATGTTATTATTATTATTATTATTATTATTATTATTATTACTACAGCAGGGTGGCTGCACTTGTACATTTATACTGAGGGAGTCCATTGACCGGGACCACGCTTTCCCTGGCCACTATTGGCCTCCATCCTCCGTTACAGCCACTAACAGGTGAACCTGAGTGTTGCAGGGTCCCATCAAAATAGCCTATTATTAAGTATGCTAAAATATATGACTAAGATAGCCTATTAAAGCCATTTTAAGCGCTTCTTATAATGGAATCACCAGTGAAAATTAATGAAACCTGTTGCTGCATAGTGGCATTTCAATGATACATTGTCCTGCAGCATTTATTCCCACAATCCACCTGTGAAGAGAAACTACTGTCATACATTTTGTAAGGTTTTACCAGCCGACCAGTTGCACATGTGTGTTTTCAACTGCAGCCCGTAATACGCCTAAATTCTGGCACTTTATTGGTTGCAGACACACAACTGCGCGGTTTTTCTGGGAAAAAATAAAAAGAACGTTTTTTTGTTGTTTTTGTTTTGGCAAATAGGCTTATGTACCTGCACACTGTGTCCCTGTCATAAAGGTATGAGGAATATAATCAGTCAGTTCAGTTCATGAAGCTGTCAAACATTGGTCCGGTGCAGGGAGCAGCCGGTGTCAGCGCACAGTTGAGATGTTACTTGCAGCCCGGACAGTGGAGGACAGGGGGCGTGGCCTTCTGGGGGATTATCTCGAGGTGCGCCTCGCGGACCGCGCTGTGATTGGTTGGCGCTCCTGGCAAACGGCACGCGACTATGGATGTCGCTATAAAAAAGCCTCGCGTGCCGGTTCTTCTACTAAAACTAACTGTTGACCGCGAGCAGCGAGGGCAGAGCAACAGTACATAAAGGAAGAGACAACGCGTCATTGTTCAGGGACAAAGATGGACAGTGTGCTGGACCCTTTCTCCGGACTCGACTCCTTCTCCTCCCCTCCTTATTTCGACGATGACGACTTTTTCACCGACCAGTCCTCGAGGGACGGACACTTGGACACTGACGACTTTCTCGATGACGACGTGGACTTCCTCACGAGTCATTTCCAAGACTATTACAGCAAAGACTGTGGCGGCAGAGCGGCGCCGCACGATGGAGACTACGACATCGGCAACCTGTCCTTCTCCTCCTCGTCCTCCACATTCTCGTACGGCTGCGCAGACAGCACCCCGGACCTGTCCCCTCAGATGGGCCACCACGGCGGGCCGCTGCTGAAGCGGAGGCGGCGGATGAGGTCTGAGACGGAGATGCAGCAGCTGCGGCAGGCGGCCAACGTCAGGGAGCGGCGGAGGATGCAGTCCATCAATGACGCGTTCGAGGGGCTGCGCTCCCACATCCCGACACTGCCCTACGAGAAGAGACTGTCCAAGGTGGACACTTTGCGACTCGCCATTGGATACATCAACTTCCTCGCCGAGCTCGTGCAGTCGGATCTGCCCATTAGAAACTCCAGCAGCGAGACGCACGTGCAGCCCAAGAAGGTCATTATCTGCCACAGAGGAACAAGTAGGTCCAATTCCACATCATGTCTTCTGACTGAGAACTGCTGCTTTAGTCGTGAACCACTGTCTTTCCAAGCATTTCCTTTTACGCACGAGATTTTACGCACGATCATTTGGATTTATGTTGATAAAGATGATGAACACTAAAACAACAGATATTAACACTTGTTCTCTTTTCTCTCTCCAGGGTCTCCCTCCCCCAGCGACCCGGACTACGGCCTCCCTCCCCTGGCCGGTCACTCTCTGTCTTGGTCGGACGAGAAGCAGCTCCGTGAACAGAACGTCATCCGCACCGCCAAGGTCTGGACACCGGAGGACCCCCGGAAACTGCACAACAAAGCGGGCCTCACAGACATTGAAAATGAGCCTCCTTTCGGCCTCGTGGCCTGAAAAAAACCCGCACATAGTGAATGTGCTGACTGTGTATTATGTTAATGTCCGTAATGTGCACTGGAAGGCGCATTGTGAAACCGTGAACACCGTGTGAGCTCACTGTACAGTCTATGATGTTGTGTTTCAATGTTGTAAATAGTTTTATCACGTTGATAATTTTATTTTTTGTAATTCAGGCTACTGGCAATCATGTATTTATTGTTTTTACACAGGTGATAATATATTTTTTTAATTTAATTGAAACGAATGAGAGAGAGGAAATTCTATTGTTGTACGATGATTTATATTTATATTCACTCTGCAAATAAAAGCACTTACTGATAACAAATATATTTCTATTGTTTATTTTTAATTATTACTATTATTGTTGTTATAAATATGGAATAAGAGCATCAAGATGTTAGAGAAGACCTTCCTTACATGATTCTACAGCTTTAATGACCTCAGCAAAAGGGTCACTTACTGGACATTTTAAAGGTTTAAATAGCGCTAACGTGGTTAGGACCATTTAGTCAAAATAACAATAAATGAGCCAAAAGCCGTCAACATGATATTAACTTACACACGTGGCATTTCTTATGTTAATTATAGCATCAGTTTATCATGAGGAGATCAAATGTTGGAACTTCAAATAATCAATGTCAATGACATTTTTATCTATTATCTACGGAAGAGGATTAACCACATGTGAAACAATTGTTTAAACTTGAAAAAACTCAGAAATCTGAGAATAAAGTCAGGAAATAAAGAGAATAAATACATTTTGTCAGAATTCTGAATTTATTCTCAGAACTCATTAATTGTTCACATTTGGCCCTAATATTCTTTCATAATTACCATCATTACGCCTGATATGAACTTAACATTGTTATGGCTGTAAGGTGCCACTGAACAGATAAACTAAAAGTCTGACTGAGTTTTACCCGAACTAATATAGCCCAATATTGTGACATAAATATGCTAATGGTATGCTAATGAGGAGCCACTGTACACCCACAGCAGCTGAAGGTGTTTAAAGCGCAGGCGGGCGTGCAGCAGTATGGTGGGAGGCTGTTGAATGCTGCTCTCTGTGCTGCCAGGTGCTGCGAGGACAGATTTTCCCGTGGTAGCCGCATCCCTCCAACATGTGTCCCCCATACACGGCCTCCTCTGCGGCCGCCCCCGTGCGCACCACCACCAACCAACCGACACACACTGTTGCCGCATATATGAAGCATGTTGGCCCAAAAAGCTGCAAACACAAGCCTGGCGAGACATGCATGCACTGCATTTAGGATTGGGGAAGTTTGGATTATAAGAACCTCCAGAATAACAGGTGGGTTGGCTCATATTTCTATTCGTCATAGAGCTTATTGTTGAATTATTCCAATGTGTGGTAACTTTTGTTTTAACCCAAATTTTTAATTTTCTCAGGATGCAACATATTTCTTTGTGTTCATGTTTTAGCCTCACTTATTTGAGGTTCAGGAGTGTTTTTCTCTCCCTCTCTCTCTCTCCTCAGCAGACTCCGGTCCTCTGTTAGTCCGTCCGCTCTTCATTACCAGCGAGACAGGAGCATGTAATCCCATTACAGCCATTAGATAGTCAAATGCTGGACAGCTTAATCTCTTTGGCAGGAGGGCCGGCTCCGCTCTGGAGCCCAGGGGTTAAAACAGTAGTAACATTGTAGTTTCCCGCACCTTAGCGCTTTTGTGCAGTTTAGTGTTTAGTTTTTTAGTGTGCAGAGCGCAGAGCGCCTCTCAACTTCCTTTGGTGCGGTCGCAGCCAAGCGGAAGGGACAAGCTGAAAAACTCCCGGCTATCTTGTCACTCCGGCTACGGGCTTGGCAAGGCTTAAAAGGACATGGCCGTTTTAGTGCCTGACAGGTTTTATTTCCTTTAGTTCAGCAGCTACGCTGAGCGGTAATTTGGTTGAGAAAGGGCCCGGCGCTGAGCTCAAAGGCCGCTGATTCACCATATAGAGACAGCTTTCATACCTACAGTGTGTCCGGGGCAGACACACACTGATCACTCATATCTGACATTATTAATGAGGTTAATGAGAAGATACATTCTGGTTTCTGGAAGTAGGCTGAATAATAAAAATAAGAAAATCAGATTACGGCCAAAGGAAAATTAAAAAAATAAATAAATTAAAATCTGACTTAAGCGGAAAAAACAACAACTCAGAGATTAAAGTCATTCGGACATTCAATGAATGAGGGAAAAACACCAACAAGTTGTTCCACGGAGGTTCATTAAAAGGCTCTAAATATGGAAGCTACAGTCTGAAGACAACAGAAAGCATGTTTACAGATAAGTCAAATGATTTTATTTGATTCAGTATTTCATGATAATATCCATTGCATGTATCTGATGGCCGCAGTTGCGCTGTCAGTTACAAATGTTATGAAGCATTCCTGCAGATTTTTAAAAACACAAACTGGATAGAAAACGTTGACACCACTAGTTATAATTGTAAAGCCTAACTCAGAAAGAGACCTTTATTGCTGATACATTTACTCACCTGTAAGTCAAATACTGAACACATAACTCGCACATTATGAACTATGTTACCATTATGGTATTGATATTATATTTAAAGGCAATAGATGTAGTGCAGACATCTTTTTCGTTTGTGGCGAAGAAGTGCTATAAACTAAAGTGTTAATAAAATAATCACAGCAAATATCTTTCTATTGCGAAGTAATTAGGTAACTAATGTTCTACAATTTGACTGCTCAAAGAGCGCAAAGACTTCCTAAAAATACATAAAGTATTATGTTTTTTCTTTGATTTAATTAATAATCAAACTCAGCTGCTTTAACCCACAAAATACATTCACCTGAACTGCTGTATGAGACATTTGAGGGCTTTTGAGTATATGTAATGTAATTACTATAATAAATGACGTACATGGTATACAGGCCACTTTTTAGCCGCCCAAATCCCAATTTTTCCTCCCAGCTCACCACTGAGGAAATTCCTGGATATTAAGGTGCACAATGACAGGAAGTATATTAGTGTGTTGCTTTTTTAAAATGTTAATTATTCAGTCATTTGATGTCTTAATGTCATGGCACTTTTACGCACCGGTGGCTGTGAATATGAGCACACACATTGACAAGCGATAAAGGAGAAACGTTTCTACAGTGAGGGTGTGAAGATTTAGTTAAACTGCTTTGAGGCATTCATGAGGAGAAAGTAAGAGCTCGTAAATCCGCTCTAAGCCCGTATGTCAGCGCATTGGGAGAGACGCCTAACAACAGCCACAAATCGGCTTGATTTGCAGATTATCTCGCTGCAGAAATACAACCCCTGGAGTCATTGTCAATACCTCTGACTCCAACATGGCATCAGTGCCGGCTGCGAGGCTGACCCCTCCAGACTCTCCATGCCATGCAGACGCTCAGATTTGTAGGGTAGCGGATGTGTAGGCCAACAGGTGTCTGCTTCACTGACAGAGCAGGAGGCAGGAGGAGGTGTGTGTGTGTGTGAGACAGGGAGGGGAGGTGGCCAGGATCACTCTCCCTGCCCGTGCGCTCCTTTCTTTCAGACGTGACCTTCCGATCTAAATTACATCTTTATGAGCGCTTCGTTGTCCCGCTGGAACAGATCGGTCTCCGCCGTGTTCTCCGGGGATGCACCTGGTAGTTCAAACTTTGTCTCTTTTCATATCATTGCGCCGCCCGTGTCCCTGGACAGCAGCTGCCTAAAAGCAAGCAAAGAGAGAGGCCCTTGCAGTGTCTTCGAGACGGGTTGGCACCGTTTTCCACGTCTTTAATGTTCCATCAGCCTTTTGTCCGTGACACAATATGGCAACTGTAAAGCATGACGTTTTGCAATAATAAAACACATTTTCAATGATGTGACACCGGGCTGAAAGCGCAGCGCGGCCAGCCAGGCTCAACACGTCCCTGCGTTTGTTTTGTGCGCTCCCAACCAATTAACAGCGAGCTCCTTTCGCAGAGCCTTGATAAGCCAATTAAATTTATGTCTTGTGTTTTTTTTTTTTTCAAGGAGAGAAAGGAGGTGGATTTGGTGTTCTCCTCCTCGGAACGGCGATTTTCTTGCCATCACCTGGTGCTTTCTCCACAAGAGAGCAAACTGTCCCGGGTGCCCCCGGAACCATACGGCTCTCACCATCCTGTACCATTGTTTTCCCGCGTTGATCACTCATTACCGGGATTTAACAAATCCTCCATGAGCTATGTTTTGTGTCATATTTTCATCCGCAAGATTAAGCAGATGCTGCGATTGTAAGATCCAAACTGTAGGGCTACTCAAGGCTGAAAGAGGGACGAGCACTCGGTTGCGAACGAGAGAAAAAAAGCTTTGGGCACATCTTCAGAGGAATAAAACATTTAAGAGCCATAAACAGACTTCAACCTGCTCTATTTCAGCCTTTGTGTTGTTTGTGAATAATTAATGTTAATAGGGACAGGTTTGTATACTTTGAATGCGGGACCACAGGTGCGGAGTGACAGGATGAATAACCGGCCCTGATTTTTGCCAAAGCTCGAGGGCTCTTGTCCAGGGTCTCCAAGCTGATGGAAAATATTGTCATCTCTTTGATTCGCAGCATTACTTTCACCGAGAACAAAGCCGGGTGATGAAAAGCTTATGTTGGAGTGAAACGGGCGATGACGGTGGCCGCTTCAGACTCCTGAAAGAAAGAGAAAGGGGGCGAGTCAATGGCCATGCGCGCTTCTGGTTTTGTGCGCAAGTGCTCCATCTAACTCAAATAAAGGAGCCTTTCCAACTTTTAAAGGACCACTTTTTACCTTTAATAAAGGCTGGACGGCTGTAGCCATTAAGCATATGGTGCTAAGGCGCTGGTCTTTTGTCCCTGTGAAGCCCTTGAGATACTAACTTGTGTTCTTTCTGGGATATTTAACTTCTCAAAGGCTCCAACTTTATGCGCCGGCAACAAGTGGCTCTAGGGCGCACGAACAGCTCCCCCCTCCCCCCCCTTGAGAGAAGCAAAGTGGCAACGACAGACGAGTTAGTGGGTAAATA